AATACAGGTCAGTTTATTAATCCAGTCAGTAAAAAGTTTCATACATAAGGAACCCAGCAGATTGCATCAAGTCACTGACTAGTGTCAATGTCTTCACATCCATCCTCATACTAAGCAAGCACATAGCGACAGTGGAGAGCAAAAATCCCTTTTAACAGGAATAAACCTCCAGAGGATCCTGGCTCAGTATAAGTAGCCATCCACCACGACTCACTGGGGATCAAGAAGACAAAGCACACACACACACACACACACACACACACACACACACACACACACACACACACACACACACACACACACACACACACACACACACACTACCCCCAAAACCTCCAAAAGTCTGCACACATACTAACACACAAATACAACAGAGGTACCAGGTAATATTTCTATTCGCTACATTGTGATTTCTTCTTTAATATTCTAATATAATAAAAGACAAACTTCATTGTCTTTATCTAAGTTAATCTATAATTAATTCAACAGGTGAACTAGTAGTAGCACATTAAAAGTTAAATGTTATTATCAGGAGAGGGAGAATGGGAAGAGGCTGGCAGCAGTGTGCCAGCCGGTTGCCCCCTCCATGAAGCACAAAAGACTTTATCGTCTACAGGAAACATTGACCAGCGCCCTGTTATTTTTTCTTAACTTCCTTTCAGAGAGGAAAACAAATGATTAACAAAAGCTGAATTACTTGATGGAAGAGTTTGTTGGTTTTGAGGATTTAATGTCGTAGCTGAGATCTCAGAGGAAAGTCACCCAGCAGGTCCTGGCCACTGACTTGCACCAGGTCCAATGTGGAGAATGAAGCCCCATGGCTCCAAACAGTGCTCATGTAGCAAAACCCCATCCGGCCCTCCTGAACCCTTTTAGCACCTCATCCAGGGAAGATGATTGGCCTAAGGAGACCTTTGAAAATGGGCCTTAGTTGTTAGATGCACACCCCCACATGTCAGGGGTATTTACCACTTTTTAATGGCCTCAACCCAAGGACCATGGGTAAACAAAGCTTATAGGAACTTTTAATGCATAAGATAATTGATTTTTTTCCTTTATAGGAATCATAAACTTTTTTTTTTGCAAAGTAGTCCATTACCCCTGTGTCAATGTGCCTCTGCAGCTAATCTACATATTGATGTGTTTTGCACTTGCACTCTCATAAAAACAGAAGACTAACACTCTCACTCTCATCAGCTCACATATTTTTATATGAAGCATCCCCCTGGTGTGGGACAGGAAAGAGCAGTTGCTGATTCACTTGGATGAAGATGTGGGGGAGTTGTGGATCGTTTCAGGAGCATGGTGGTTATCTTCCATCTTTTGCTGTTCCAGCTCCCGACCTGGGTGGAAACCGGGAGTTGGATACAAAACCAACATCAAATACCAAGAGTAAAGGGAAAGTTCAGATCTAGAAGTGGTTTTCTGCAGGAATGTTATGAACACTTTAGATCTGACCTGTTGTAGATAGCTCTTTGAACAACCTGTAGAGGGTTACTGTGCAGGCGGACACTTTATCTACACAGATCAAAGGGCTTGGCATGTTAAACCTCCAGATAGATGTCTTAATATCACCAGCCCATTTTATAAACAACAGCTGTTGCTTCCGAATCATATTTATTGATCTGGAAACAGGATTAGTTTCACCCAGCTGCGAATCAGAGTTACGTTCAACAAGGATCAATGAACAACCGGCTGTTGTATGAAATAAATAATGAAATAAATCTGATTATAAATGGTGCATCAGAGCGTTCTTACAGTAGTGCTGGTCTGAAACGCTTTAACGACCTGACTGATAACGGAAAAACTTACTCCCAACTAGGAATCTGCAGTGAGCTCAGAGTTCCACAGCTAATTTTGGGCCTTTTGTTCTTTATTTTCACATTTTAGGCAAAGAAAAAGATTTCACTTCATCATTTTTGTTGGTTGGTGGTTTCCTTGAACCCGACTTCACTAATTGATGAAAGCTATCCCTTTCTGATTCAGTGAAACAGGTGGATGTTGGCATTGTGAACTATATTTCACTCTGTTTATCTTACAGTTTTTTTTTCGATTGCTAAAACTCAAAAAGCAAAAATGAGGCACGATTTACACAACCTCTACTTCTGTTCCCAATCGCTTGACTCAGTTTATCACTACTTAAGATTTCCTTATCATATTAGAACTCTGATTTTCCTCCTTTACACTCTGATGTCAGTTTCGCATTACCTTGCTGTCAAAACACAACACACGCTTTTCAGGTTTACAAACACTTCTCACATCAATTCTCAAAGCTTCAATCAACAACACACAAATATTCAAATCTCTAAACTTTCATGTCTGGCGAGCAATTTGCAATCAGGGACTGCAGCATAAAAGTAAGTTTCCACAAGACTGCCCAGGTGTATGAGTGGTTTCAGGACCACCCACGGTTTTCCATTTTATACCTTCCACCTTATTCCCCCTTCCTCAATCCCACTGAGGAGTTTTTCTCAGCCTGGAGGTGGAAGGTGTACGGAAGGAATCCACAGAGCCAGGTCCCACTGCTTCAAGCCACGGAGGAGGCTTGTAGAGATGTGGCCTTTGAGGCCTGTCAGGGCTTCATGAGGCACTCGAGGCGGTACTTCCAGAGCTGTTTGGACCAGGAGGACGTCGTCTGTGATGTTGATGAGGCCCTCTGGCCAGACAGAGACCGGAGGCATCACGCCCCATGATGATGCTTGAATGGGAGAGGGGGTGGGGTTCGGGGTGGGGGGGTTGGGTTTAACTGTAAAAATAAAATGTTTTGTCTCAAAATCTGTGTGATGTCTAATGTTTGTCTCAGGGAAAAGTGGGCACCGTCAGACATTCAGTGTGTAATTCATTGTGTTCCATTCAGACAATTGTGTTTTCAGTTTTGCTCTTCAGTGTTCTTTCCATGCTTGGTAGTGTTCAACCAAAAGCTACGTGTGTTTAAGCAATGAATGGTATGTGTGTGTCATGTGAAAATGTGGCTGTGTTTACCAAATGAAAACACGTGTTCCATTTTGGGAACATGTTACGATGGGTGATGGCTGGGTTTTGTTGCAAAGGGAAGCCACGGTTTAAGAATTTGTGTGTTATGTTTGGGGTTTTGTGTGTGCAGTTTTGAAAGAAATGTACAGTTTTGCAAAACGCGTTTTAGCAATCGAAAAACACTGTAAAGAGGGAAAACGTTTAAAGTAGGGATGCAACGATACCACTATTTTCCAAACCGATATGATACCGATACTTGGATCTGAACACTTGCCGATACCGATTACCGATACTTCTACCACACAAAAAATGCAATGATTTGGAATACAAATTTTATTTTCTTCTCTGCTTTCAACAGGAAAAAACTGTGAGGTTGATAAAAAGTAAAATATTTGAATGGAAATCATCACCAAACTAAAATATTAGGTGAACAGAAATGATAAGTTACAGTGAAGCCATTTTCAAACATCTGCATTGGTATCGGTTCCTGGTATCAGTTAACTTTTACCGATACCGATACCAGTATCGTATCTGTATCTGCACCGATACCGATAACAGTATCAGTATCGGTGCATCCCTAGTTTAAAGGTCTCATTTACTGAGAAATCATGTTAGACCTGTTCTCCTCTACAACCGTTAATGCCTTCCACAGAAAGGAAATCGACCGGAAAACACAGAAAATTATAATTCATGGCCTCACCCACCTTGGCTTGTGACAGTGGAAGGCTGTGTTGACTTTTTTGCAGCCAGGAGAGAGTAGAGCTTGTCTTGGTTAGTTGAGTTAGCTTCTTTCCGGAGTATTTGTCTTATCCAATGGCACCATCTAGTGGCTGACAAGTGGATCACACAAAACTGCTGGCCCTCTGTTTTTTTTTTAGATGGCGACTTCACGTTTCTGTTTATAAATGTGCTTCTGTAGCCGGCAAACAGAGCTAAAACACTGTGTTTTACGAGTGTTATTCCCATGTTGTGTTTTCATATATTTATATTTTAGAGACTTTCTTGTCCGTGAAATGTTCATCAACTCTGCATCAGCCGAGATATTCCTTAAAAGTGAAGCGTCTAAGCTGTAGTCTAACTCTATTGGTTTGTTCTGGTCGGCGTTCAGTTTCCTATTGCACCGAGCTCTGCCGGGCAGGGGGCGTGCTTAGCAAAAAAATAAATAAAAAATAAGACGTATTGTTTATATTATATCACAGTACGTGGTAAGATAATCACTTTTATGGATTTCTGACTAACCATACATAATTTCTGAAAGAGGAAAACTCCGGAGAGCAGCTTTAACTGTTAACGTTAGCCACTCCACCACACAGCAGAGCTCCTTCAGGCTTCTGTTATTTGTGGAGTTAACACATCAACCTTGCAGAACAAACAAACGGTGTTCGAGTCACATGAATATTAATGAGTAAAACTTGTAATTCCTTTTTATCTGCTACACTGAAACAAGAGTGAGTTTTTTTCCCACAGAACGTGAACAACAAGGCGTGTATTTGAACTAGACACCACAGCAAATTATTGAAAAATCAAGTGTGTGTGTGTGTGTGGGGTGGGGGCAATGTTTATCCTTAATAGATTTGTTAAATTAAAAAGTGAAAAGCAAATGGTCCTTAAATTGAAAGGTGACAAACTTCAAGCGTTGCTTTTACTCCGCCAGCCTGCAAACTAGCATCCTTCTTCAGGCTGTGCCAGGATCAGTCTCATGACATGCAGAGTACTTGGACCAAGAAATTGTCTTGTATTATAATTGTGTTTTTTTTTCAATCAGACTGGCAATTGAAGGAATCCGTATTCTATTTCCACACAAATCTTTCAAAAACACATTTTAAAAAGATGGGTATGTGGTTATATTGCATACCGCTGAGAATTGAATAGGTATTGAAAACTTTCTCAATGATGGATGAAAGTCATTTCTTTTATAAAAGGCTGCTGCTATGATGTAATTTTTGAGGTGTTAAAGCAATCTTTATCCTAACGCACACTTTCCCTTTTTTCCCTATTTCTTGCCTTGCTCCTTTCTCTACTCTCAGAGGATGAGCTGCAGCTACCTGCTCTGCACCATCCTGCTCTTCGTCGCTGTGCTGCTGGCCGTCACTGTAACCGGCACCATCCTTTTTATGAATCACTACCAGGCCCCGCCCTTGACCGATGGCCTACCCCACATATCCACCAATCAGGATGAGGCAAACGCCCTGGTAACTGTTGAGAGGGGCGACGGCTCTCGCATCAACATCTTCATCGACCCCAACTGTCCCGACTACAACAGTAACTTTATACGCCTGGAGGGCGTGCAGACATCGCTGCTCCACTCGCTGACCGACCACGATTCTGACCTGAAGTCGGTGAAAGGCCAGGATCGGGCTCTGCTAGTCAACCTGGCTGAGGAGGTGACCAAGCTGTCAGCCCACGCGGGGCAACTGAAAATGGACTACGAGTCCCTGCGCAGAGGGCAGAGCAGTCTGGGTCAAGACCTGAACACACTCCAGACAGAGCAGGGGCGCCTCATACAGGTGACCACACACACATATCACACACATCACATACAAACCCTTCTACGTCTGCAGTTTGGAAGATCCCTAGACAATATTGGATTAGAAACAACCTAAAATAACACTGGTAAATAAATGGTAAATATGCCACCGGGCGTTAAGCGGCACATCAGCGTTCACTGAAAATCTTGCTGTGAGTCTTTCTGTTGATTTTGTTTTTGCAGTTGTAGAAAGGTTGGCCAGCTTGTCAGTCTCTGTCTCTGGGAGGCTTTTGTCTCATTTACCTCTTCCAACATTGGACCTAAAGTCGATGCATGTGTTTAACCATGAATTATCTGTACAGGTGGACTCCTGCTCACACACCAGTGCTGCTGTTTGTAGTTGGAAGAGTTCAGAATTACTTTATTGAATATGTTCTAAACTGAAACTTGGCTGGGTCCAAAAGATCATTAGCAAAACAAAGACGAACAAAAACATATTGTCCTCAGACAATACTGGTCTCTATTTCCCTTTTTTTCACACTCCATGAAATTGTGGGTCATTAAATAAAATTATGAGAAAAACCCAAATTGAACAGCTGAAGAACTGTTTATTCAGCCTCAGTAGAAATTTAACAACAGGTTTAACACAGCCTTCTATAAAATGTCAATTTTGTAAAGGGTGGCCAACTGCAGTTTACTTTTAATTCTTTGAATTTCAGATTATACGTTTTTATTTCAGTTAATATGTTTATCTCAGCAGAAAGTAACCAAAACTGCCGCAAACTTTGTGGAAAATGAAGGAAAATGTTGTCCTCCTCATGGGGGAGAATAGCAGTGTTCTTTATTATAAAAAAGTCTTTCCTGATGGATTCTAAACAAAAGTGGATTGTTGTCAGTGACTTGATGCAATTTGCTGGTTTCCTTATATAGGAAACATTATTTCTGATTGGCTTAATGAACTGTGAATTGGAATGTTTATTATGTGAAGTGCCTTGAGACGACTCTTGTCATGATTTGGCGCTATATAAATACACTTGAATTGAATTGAATTGAATTGCCTTCTGGAAGTGCTTCAATTCTTAAAATGAGTATTTCAGCCAAGGAGTGTGTCCCTAACCCTGATAATGTTGAGAATATTGTGATACCTAATCATTTCAATTGAAAATTTTCTCAAATCTTACCTGACAAATAGTGATAGGCAGCTACAAAATATCTTTCAAATATCAGTAAATATCTGTGTAAAACATACATTTAGGGTAAAAGTTTTTAAACAAACATTTGCAATAACGTGACACTTTTTTTATTTTAAAGCAACATTAAATACAATTTTTTGCTTCTGCTTCTCCCTCTTACTGGTCGTAAACAACTCTGCCACAGCCGGCATTAGCAAGTGCTAAATAGGAGCTTATGCTAACAAGAGCCAACTGAAATAAACCTTAAAGTAAAAGATCCACACTGTTGAATATGTTCTATTCAACAATGTGGTATTACTTACTAGTCCAGAAGCAACAAAGCCAGGTCACCATCAGTCCTTGATTTTTAAGTCTCCTTTAGCTCTCTCTCTTATTTTCATTGTGGTCTTAGCTTTTTGCTTTGCCTCTAAAGACATTTCTCACTTTCTTTTATTTCCAGGCTCCACCATGGTACCAAGAACAAAAGTGAACCTTATCCTCCAGCTAGGAGTAGCAACCGCTAGGCTTTATATTAGCTAGCAGCACAAAAATCAGCTAGTAAAGACATCCCACTATTGTTCTGTATCTGTACCACAAAACTGTTGAGTGCAGTTTCTGGTCAGCAGAGGGCAGCAGAATGCTGTCCAGTATAAAGTTTCTCAAGTTTGACTCAAGAAAAACTGAAACCAGTTGGAAAGCAATAGCTTAAAATAGTTTTAAATAAACTCTTTAGTTTTGCTTTAAGTTAGACTGGTTTAAGCTGGTTTTAATACACTCTGGGCTTGGCTCTGTGTGGACTAACCATTCGCTTTCTAATCAGATGAAAATAAAATATATATATATCGCCAAACCCCGCCCATTGACTTTAAGACATGGACTAGAGTCACTATGAAGTCTTCGTCTTCGTCTTCGTCTTCGTCTTCCTCCGCTTATCTGGGTCCGGGTCGCGGGGGCAGCATCCCAATTAGGGAGCTCCAGGCCGTCCTCTCCCCGGCCTTGTCCACCAGCTCCTCCGGCAGGACCCCAAGGCGTTCCCGGACCAGACTGGAGATGTAACCTCTCCAACGTGTCCTGGGTCGACCCGGGGGCCTTCTGCCGGCAGGACATGCCCGAAACACCTCCCCGGGGAGGCGTCCAGGAGGCATCCTGACCAGATGCCCAAACCACCTCAACTGGCTCCTTTCGATCCGGAGGAGCAGCGGTTCTACTCCGAGTCCCTCCCGAATGTCCGAGCTCCTCACCCTATCTCTAAGGCTGAGCCCGGCCACCCTACGGAGGAAACTCATTTCGGCCGCTTGTATCCGCGATCTCGTTCTTTCGGTCATTACCCAAAGCTCATGACCATAGGTGAGGATTGGGATGTAGATCGACCTGGTAAATCGACACTCTGAAGTCACAAAATCAAACCTGATGTAGATTCTTGTATTGGTAATCTTATAATAATAATAATAATAATAATAATAATAATAATAATAATAATAATCAAACACATAAAGCACTTGTTTAGGACACTCAAAGACGCTTTCATACACTCACATTCACACACTGCTAGTGATGGTAAGCTACTTTGTAGCCACAGCCGCCCTGGGGCAGTCTGACAGAGGCGAGGCTGCCATTTGGCGCCGTCGGCCCCTCTGATCACCACCAACACAGGCAAGTTGGGTGAAGTGTCTTGCCCAAGGACACAACAGCAGAATACCCTTGCCGGGAGCTGGAATCAAACACATAACTCTCTGATCATGAGGCAACCTGCTCTACCACCTGAGCTGCTGCTGCCCATTTTATGAAGAAATGTAACCATGTCCTCTGCTTGATCGATCCAATGTTCATGAATGGAAAGATGGAGTAACTGTGTGTGTCAAGACTTATCAATTATGCTACAGCACTGATTCTATCTGAACTGTTTACTTGTTGGATAGAAAGACTCCAAGCAGTTTTCTTTATTTTTAATTTCTTGTAGACTCAAGTTTTGGAACAAAACTTCTTCTAATTAGCTGTATTATTTTCTCATTAGTGATACCAGCTGTTTAGAAGGAGAAGTGCTGCAATACAGGTTTATGTTAAAATACACAGTTTTTTTAAAAGTTTTTTTTTTTTTGCCAATGTGGATCAACTGTAGCGTATATCTCTGTGGATCACCTAAAACAAAACAAAAAACAATCGTTTACATACATTTCTGAAATAAAAATGCATTTTGCTCCTTATAGTTGAAGGACTGAAACATGACAGTTTTTGGTGTTTCAATGTGACACTAGGGTAGCCTAGTGAACTAGACCAAATTCTTGCTTTGCAAAGAATGGTCTAGGCATGCTCCATTGGAACCTCAGCAGCTCCTACCAGGACTCTGGCTGGCCAATCACAGCTCTCTAGAGGGGTTTCAAACACATAAAGAGCTGTGATTGGTCCATAATGGTTGGCCAATCATAGTGCTCTATCTGCTTAGTGAACAAATCACAGAGATTTATCCGCTTTGTGGGCCAATCAGGGCACTCTGTATGCCTGGTGGGTGGGATGATGCAACAGAGTGAAACAAGAGTATGTCACATTCATTGTCCAGTGGAATGCGGAGATCATTTGAAAGGCAACGGTAGAACCCGCCCCACAACCGAGAGCCGTCAATGGAGCATGGCCAGACTAAATAATACATTTATTTAGTCTGGCTTGCCAGGCTAACATTAGGGTTCACTTTTCCATAATATTTATCTGCATCTGATTTTAATTTGATTGTAAAACTCAACCTGCAAGTTTGTGATCATTTACGATATAAATTAAATCGCCACTGGTTGAGCACTAGGACCGAGCGAAAAACAACCATTTGTTTTGAAGCTCGTTTCCCATTAGAACTCCCCCCCCCCACACACACACACACACGCACTTCTGAAGTCAAAAGTGCGTCCATGGATGTGTGCCTATCATTTTTCTAGACAGTTCCTTGATCTTCCCACCGCAGACTCTGTAGGAATCAGAACATAAATGAGTTCAAAGTTCCAGTTTTTACTTGAGACTTCAGATTTTTCAACTGAGATCCTTAAAAGTTATCAACAACAGGTAAGATACTTACTATTCATAAGCAGGAAATGATCTGGATAATGCCTTTAGCCTCCACTGTTTGTTAGCCGTGGTAGAAATATTTCTCTGGAGCATAAATGAAATACACTAATGCATCAAAGTCCTTTATCTTGTTCTATGTCCATTCATGCTGTTGCTGAGTTGGGACTCCTTTGTCTAACAGCTGTTAGTCTTTGCTTCTTAAGAGTAGAAAGGCCAATTCAGCGACAAACGGTTTCATCTGAACATCTAAAACAAAAACGTTTTTTTGTTTGTTGGTGTCATGTCGGTTTCTGATCCCGGTGGTGACTGCTAATTAGTCAAGACAACCGAACAGCAGCCAGCGTGGCTCACACACAGCTAAAAATCTATACTTTAAATACAGTATATAGAGGCTTGAGAGTTGGATCGTGTAACAGCTGTCGATGTGCATCGATTACAAAGCCACCTAAAGACGTGTGACAGCTCACTGGACTTGAACCTTTGCTGTTGGTTTAGCCCCTCCCTTTTTCCCTACTGCACATTTAAAACCCAATTGTTCTCTCAGGCAATGCCAACTGGAGCGTGTCGGGTTTATTTATTTCTTTTTCTCACCGTAATAGCCCCAAAATTGCTAAATTAAAAAGCGTAAAGAGGGCTCATGTTGCACAGGCATGTGTTCTCTTTTAGTTTGGTGCTTAAAGCCAGTGGGGGGAACAGCAGCCGTCATGTTTCAAAAACTCTACAAGTTGCACATTATTCAGAGAGATCATATAATGTTTCCCAAGATGTCAGTCTCCACATTGGATAAAAAACATAATTAGACCTCCCGTTAGCTCCG